AAGGGAAGAACAAAGGTGGAGGACTGACACTACCTGACTTCAAGAAAGTATTGTAGCTTTAGTAAAGTTACAGTTGTCAAGGCAGCATGGTAGTGGTAAAAGAATAGAAATAGATCAGTGGAATGAATGGAGAACCTGGAAACAGATACATATAAATATGATCAACTGATCTTTGATAATACAATGGAGCAAAGATAGTCTTTTCAGCAAGATGGTGCTAGAACTACTAGACATCCACATGTAAAAAAAAAAATGAATCTAGACATAGACCTTATACACTTCATAAAAATTAACTCAAAATGGATCACAGATCTAAATGTAAAATTCAAAGCTATGAAACTCAGGTCTTCCTCGTTAGTATAGTGGTGAATATCCCCGCCTGTCAAAGCTATGAAACTCGTAGAAAATAATGTAAGAGAAAACTTAGATGAGCTTGGGTATGGTGATGACTTTTTAGATACAACACCAAGGGCATACTCTATTAAATAAAGAATTTTTAATCCATTAAAATTAAAAATTTCTGCTCTGGAAAAGACAATGTTAATAGAGTGATAAAACAAGGCAAAGACTGGGAGAAAATGTTTGCAAAAGGCATATCTGATAAAGTACTGTTGTCTAAAATACACAAAGAACTCTTAAAATTCAACAATAAGAAAATAACCAACCCCATTAAAAAATGAGCTGAAGACCTTAATGTCTCACTAAAGAAGATATACAGATGGCAAATAAGCATATGAAAAGATGTCCCACATCATATGTCATCAATGAAATGTAAATTAAAACAATGGGATACCACTACATACGTATTAGAATGGCTAAAATCCAGAACGCTGACAATACCAAAAGTTGACAAGGATATAGAGCAGCAAGAACTCTTATTCATTGCAGGTGGGAATGTAAAATGGTATAGCCACTTTGCAAGACAGTTTGTCAGTTTCTTTTAAAACTAAACATACTTATTATGCAATCCCTCAATCTTGATCCTTGGTATTTACCCAAAGGAGTTAAAATCTTATATCCACACAAAATCTACACATGGATGTTTTAGCAGCTCTATTCATAATTGCCAAAATTTGGGAGTAATCAAGATGTCCTTTCATAGGTGAATGGATAAATAAACTGTAGTACATCAAGACAATGGAATATTATTCAGCACTATAAAGGAACGAGACATCAAGCTATGAAAAGACATGGAGGAACCTTAAATGCATATTACTAAGTGAAAGAAGCCAGTTTGAAAAGGCTACATACTGTGTGATTCCAACTATATGACACTCTGGAAACGGCAAAACTATGAAGACAGTAAAAAAAAAATCAATAGTTGTCAGGGATTGGGAGTTGGGACACGATGAATAGGTAGAGCACAGACAATATTTAGGGCAGTGATAATACTCTGTGTGATAGTATAATGATGGATATGTGTTATTATACATTTGTCCAAACCCACAGAAAGTACAACACTAAGAGTGAACCCTAAGGCAAACTATGAGGAAAAATTAGTTAAACACAAAGGAAGGCAGTAAGGGAGGAAATGAGGAACAACAAAAAAAACCTGTAACACCTACAGAAAACATACAACAAAATGGTAATAGTAAGTCCTGCCCTATCAGTAATGACTTTCAACATAAATGGGTAACCCTATACAGGCAAAAGACATAGATTAGTAGAATGATTTTAAAAACCAGGATCCATCTTTATGCTGTTTACAAAAGATGCACTTTATTTATATTATATATTTTTAAAAGATTTATTTATTTGAGAGAGAGAGTGTGAACAGGGTCAGGGGCAGAGGGAGAGGGAGAGAATCCTCAGGCAAACTTCCTGCTGAGCTTGGAGCCCAACACAGGGCTGGATCCCAAAACCCTGAGATCATAACCTGAGCTGAAATCATGAGTTGGACACAGCCAACTGAGCCATCCAGGTGCCCCTATTTTATATTATTTTTATTTAAAAATTTTTTATTTGAGGGTAGTTGACATACATGTTACATTAGTTTCAGGTTTCCAAATAGTGATTTGACAAGTTTCTACATTATGCTATGCTCACCACAAGTGCAGCTACCATCTGTCAGCATACCTTCTGTTAAAATATCATTGACTGGGGCGCCTGGGTGGCTCAGTTGGTTAAGCGACTGCCTTCGGCTCAGGTCATGATCCTGGAGTTCCAGGATTGAGTCCCACATCGGGCTACCTGCTCGGCGGGGAGTCTGCTTCTCCCTCTGACCCTCTCCCCTCTCATGCTCTCTATCTCTTTCTCTCTCTCAAATAAATAAATTAAATCTTAAAATATATATATAATTGACTGTATTCCTTATGCTGTACCTTTTATTCCCATGACTTACTCATTCCATAACTGGAAGCCTGTATCTCCCACTCCCCTTCACCCATTTTACCAATTCCCCCCATCACCTTCCCTCTGGCAACCATCAGTTTTCTGTATTTACAAGTCGGATTCTGCTTTTTGTTTATTTCTTTCTTTCTTTTAGATTCCACATATGAATGAAATAATATAGTATTTTTCTTTCTCAGTCTGACTTATTTTACTTAGTATAAAACCCTCTAGGTCCATCCATGCAAATGACTTGATCTCATCCTTTTTTATGGTTGTGTAATATTACAGTGTGTGTATGTACCACATCTTCCTTATCCTTTTGTCTATTGATGGACACTTAGGTCATGTCTGTATCTTGGCTATTTTAAATAATGCTGCAATAAACATTGGGGTGCATATATATTTTCAAATTAGTGTTTTTGTTTTCTTTGGGTAAATACCCAGTAGTGGAATTACTGTGTCATATGGTATTTTTATTTTTAACTTTTTGAGGAACTTCTATACTATTTTCCACAGTGGCTGCAACAATTTACATTCCCACCAACAGTGCATAAGGATTCCTTTTTCTCCACATCCTTGTCAACACTTGTTATTTCTTGTCTTTTTTATTTTAGCCATTCTGACAGATGTGAGGTAATAACTCATTGTGGTTTTGATTTGCATTTTCCCAACGATGAGTGATGTTGAGCAGTTTTTCATGTGACCATTGGACATCTGTATCAAAAGACTCACTTTAGATCTAAGGACATGCATAAGTTGAAAATGGAAGATGGAAAAGTTATTCTATGCAAATAGTAACCAAAAGAACAGAGGTGGCTACACTAATATCAGACAAATCAGACTTTAAATCAAAAGTGGTTATAAAGGACAAAGACATTATATAATGATAAAAGGATGAGTTCACCAAGAAGTTGTAGTAACTATAAACATGTGGGCATCAAACATCAGAGCTCCTAATTATATAAACCAAAGATTTGATATAATTCTAGGAGAAATAGATAGCTCTACAATAACAGGTGGAGTCTTAATTAGGATGAGATGAATTTTGGAGGAACACAAACATTCAATTCATAACAGTTGTTCAGGAATGATCAGGAATTTATAGAGACAGAGGTGACATTCACAGCTTATAGCTGAACCTCTGTAGGATACTGGTCCAGCAGCAGTAGACATGAATATTTTGACCCCTTTATAACCTTTCCTAGTCTAGTATAGTGATTACTTACCTGTGATGGACTCTCCTCTCAACTGTCTTTAGGTCATCTGTAGCAAAGCTGTGATCCCAATACACAGAAAAGGGAGAGAACTAATGGATTAGGGATACTTATACTAAAACAGACATCTTGTATATAAGAATTTTACCTCATTGAAAATAATGATAACTGGTAGGAAGAGGGTACAGTAATTTGGCCCACCTTGCTTAAGATCAATTGGCCAAAATTTGTGAATCTAATTCATGCTTGCAAGACAGAAAAACTACTAACATGGCATATTGCTGGATGTCTTTAGACCCCCAACTGAGAATTTTCCTGAAGGACTCCCCAATAAAAGGAGGAAATTAAGGTAAAAGTTGGAATTATTAAAAATAAAGTATAAGGCGTGCCTGGGTGGCTCAGTTGGTTAAGTGTCTGCCTTTGGCTCAGGTCATGATCTCGGGGTCCTGGGATCTAGCCCCTTGTCCAGCTCCCTGCTCAGTGGGGAGCCTGCTTCTCCTTCCACTCCTCCCTCGTTGTTGTTTTTTTCTCTCTCTCAAATAAATAAAATCGCTTTAAAAATAAAATGAAATAAAAGTATAAGTAATATATAAAATTTGGTTCACTGAGAAGATCAAAAACATAGATAAGCTTCCCAGAGGGGCTTATTTAAGGAAAGGAGAAAGAAAATTATATAATATTAGGAATTAGAAAGGGGATATAAACACCGTTAAAGATGAGATTAAAACAATTAGAAGAGGGGGCGCCTGGGTGGCTCAGTCGGTTAAGCGACTGCTTTCGGCTCAGGTCATGATCCTGGAGTCCCGGGATCGAGTCCCACATCGGGCTCCCTGCTCTGTGGGGAGCCTGCTTCTCCCTCTCCCCCTCCCCCTGCTTGTGTTCCCTCTCTCGCTGTGTCTCTCTCTGTCAAATAAATAAATAAAATCTTAAAAAAAAAAACAAACAATTAGAAGAGGATCATATAAAACTATGGCAAAAAAATAGAAAATTTCAAAAAAAATTGAAAATTTCAGGGCGCCTGACTGGCTCAGTCTATAGAGCATGCGACTTTTGATCTCGGGGTTGTAAGTTCAAGCCCCACATTGAGTGTAGAGATTACTTAAAAATTAAAAATAAATAAAATAAATAAATTGAGGGGCACCTGTCTGGCTCAGTTGGGGGAGTGTGCAACTCTTGATTTCCGGGTTGTAAGTTTGAGCCCCACACTGGGTATAGAGATTACTTTGAAAAAAGCGGAATCTTAGGGAAAAAATTGAAAACTTCACAGGAGTAAAAATTATTATAGTCTTAGCTCAAAATCTGTCCAAAAAAAAAAAGACTTTACCCTGTACCCTTTCCATAACATCCAGTGGAATATACACAGCAAAGGATTTTGTTGGGTTTGCCTCACAGTACAGAATTTGATGTCTTCTGCTCAGGTTCTATACTCATGGCTCTTTTTTATTTTTTTTACAGGAAAAGATTTCTGCTTGGAAATTGAATGGCTACTGGGAAAATGAACATTAGTATTGATTTGAAAACTAACTCTGCTGAGCTGATTTTAGGTGTGGGAAGAGTCACTCTTGGGGAGAAGAATAGGAAAAAAATGAAAGATTGTCAGCTTCGAAAAAAGCAGAATGAAAACATCTTACAAGCTATGATTGCTTTGCTGAATTCTGGAGGGGGAGTGATCAAGGCTGAAATTGAGAATGAAAACTATAGCTACCCAAAAGATGGAATAGGATTAGATTTGGAAAGTTCTGTTGGAAATATTCTTCCATCTGTTCATAAATACCTAGACTTTATGCAGCAAGGTGAATATTTTCTAATTTTTGTCAAATCATGGAGCTCAAAAACCTCTGGTTTACGGATTGCCACCTTGAAGTCGAATTTGTACAAAAGGGATGTAACATGTACAAATATCATGGATGCCACTGCTACAATGGAGTTCCTCACAGACAAGAACAAAACTAAGGGGAGATTGTATAGATCTAAATTGTCTCCAAAGCAGAATGCACAAGTAGAGAGTAACGTGAAGGCCTTGGCTGATGACTTTTTTAACAGGACACAACTTAGGTACAGAGAAAAACTCCCCTTTACTGAATCCACACATGTTGAAATGAAAGCCTTCTCAACAGACAAGTTGTTACAACGCATTAAAGAGATTCTCCCTCAATATATTTCTGCATTTTCAAATACTGATGGGGGATATTTGTTTATTGGTTTAAATGGGGATGAAGTAATTGGCTTTAAAAGAGAAGTGAGTGATCTTAACAAGTTAGTTTCAGAAATAGAAAAATCCATTAGAAAGTTGCCTGTCTATCACTTCTGTAAGGAGAAGAAAGAGATAAACTATGTATGCAAATTCCTTGAAGTATATGATGAAGGGCATCTTTGTGGATATGTCTGTGCCCTCAAAATAGAGCCATTCTGCTGTGCAGTGTTTGCTAAAGAGCCAGAATCTTGGCATGTGAAAGACAACAATGTGCGACAATTTACTATGAAGGAATGGATTTCCAACATGTTGCCTGCAAACCCAAGTGAGGAAGGGAGATTAGGAAGGAGGCTCCATAGGGCTAAGATGGCAGGTAGGTTTTCATTTGGGATTTGGGGTGACATCATAGGCTTCACATTTCAACACCTAATTTACTAATGTCTGGTGGATACGATCAATCATTCACTCTCTTATTTTCCTCTACCCACTTAGAAGATAGCTCTTCCATACAGAAGCCGCGTTACCTTCTGTCAATAGCACAAGCTGGTACAAAGATCCAATTAACCCTATTTTTCTTCCCTACCATCTCTTTACTCACTTCCAGTGAAAAAGCCTGTTGAATCCTTTTTCTTTCTGAGCTCAGTTTCAGTAACTGACCATTTCTTTCTGTCAGGACCACTTGCCTCTTTTATTTACCTTTCCTTCATCTGTCTTTACACCTTTCTATTTATTTCCCTTAAAACCTCTTCCCTCTTCCTCTTTTTTTTTTTTAAGATTTTATTTATTTATTTGAGAGAGAGACAGAGGGAGTGAGAGAGAGAACACGAGTGGTGTGAGGGGCAGAGGGAGAAGCAGACTCCCTGCTGAGCAGGGAGCCCGACGCGGGCTGTAAACTGAAGGCAGACACTTAACTGACAGAGCCACCCAGGCACCCCCTAACCTCTTCCTCTTCTGTCTTTCCATCTGGGGGCCAAAATGTAACCCTAAGTTGGAGTGATTAAGAAAAAGAATAATGCTGGTATTTTATCTGATTTTGGAAAAGGGAAGCCTCAAATAAAATTAGACTGCACTGGCAACTTTAAAATCTCTGAAAATGCAAGGTTCTTTCTTAGAATCTGCAAAACTCAGCAGTCCTTCACAAGCTATCTCATCTTCAAATTTTAATTGCCTTTAAAGTGAACCCAAGAACATGGCAATGTATTCGATGACTCTTAATGCGTTTTTTTATTAATTTTCATTCCAGCTACAGTGTGTTCCAGCAGCATCAAGGATTAAAATGTATTAAAATTGCAATTTGTGGGGTGCCTGGGTGGCTCAGTCAGTTAAGCATCCAACTCTTGATTTCAGCTTAGGTCATAATCTTGGAGTCATGAGATGGACCCCCGCCTCCAGCTTGCTGGGTGTGGAGCCTGCTAAGATTCTTGCTCTCTCTCTTTCCCTCTCCCACTGCCCTTCCCCTGTGCTCTCTCTCCCTCTCTCAAAAAAAAAAAAAAAAGATGTTGAAAAAAGGCATTAAAATTGCAATTTGTGGGGCACCTGCCTGGCTCAGTTGGTAGAGCATTTGACTTTTTTTTTTTTTAAGATTTTATTATTTATTTATTTAGAGAGCAGGGGAGGGGCAGAGGGAGAGAGAAAGAGAATCTCAAACAGGCTCCACACCCAGCATGGAGCCTGATGTGGGACTGGATCCCACAACCCTGAGATCATGACCTGAGCCAAAATCAAGGGTCGGATGCTTAACCAACTGAACCACCCAGGCACCCGAGAGCTTGTGACTCTTGATCATGGGGTTGTGAGTTTGAGCCCCATGTTGGATGTACACATTACTTGAAAATAAAATCCTAGGGGTGCCTGGGTGGCTCAGTCGGTTAGGCTACCACCTCTTGACTTCAGCTCAGGTCATGATCTCAGGGTCCTGTGATCCAGTCCCACATCAGGCCCTGTGCTGGGCGTGGAGACTGTTTGGGATTCTCACTCTCTCTCTCTCCCCCTGCCCCTCCTCAGCTCTCTCTCTCTCAAAAAAAAAAAAAAACTTAAATAAAATATAAAATTGCAATTTGTGTCTGACCTAGGAATCTAACCACAATATCTAACAATATTTCTATTGGGAAAAAGGGGTTAAATCTAAGCAGACTTTTGATATGCTATGCATTAGTTAGATGGGGGGAGGGTCTCTCATGGCAAATTAAGAATGTGGTTTTTTGTTTGTTTGTTTGTTTTAAGATTTTCCTGGGACAGAAAAGATCATCTTCCAACAACAAATATCATCGCCATTATACTGTAGTAAATCTGTTTAGAATTTGGAAAATGAGCAGCTGAGATATCACTTTCCAGGTAGTTTAATTCTGACTTCTTTGTTTGTTTTTCATTTTTTTAACTTAAATTCAATTAACTAACATATAATGTATTATTGGTTTCTGAGGTAGAGGTCAGTGATTCATCAGTCCTTTTTTTTTTTTTTTTTAACATTTTATTTATTTGACAGAGAGAGACACAGTGAGAGAGGGAACACAAGCAGGGGGAGTGGGAGAGGGAGAAGCAAGCTTCCCGCCAAGCAGGGAGCCCGATGTGGGGCTCGATCCCAGGACCCTGGGATCATGACCTGAGCCAAAGGCAGATGCTTAATGACTGAGCCACCCAGGCACCCCTCATCAGTCTTATATAATACCCAGTGCTCATTACATCACGTGCCCTCTATAATATCTATCACCCTGTTACCCCATCCCCCCACCTCCCTCCCCTCCAAAAGCCCTCAGTTTGTTTCCTCTGGTTAAGAGTCTCTTATGGTTTGTCTCCCTCTCTGATTTCGTCTTGTTTTATTTTGTCCTCTTTTCCCCTATGATCCTCTGTTTTGTTTCTTAAATTCCACATATCAGTGAGATCATATGATAATTGTCTTTCTCTGATTGATTTATTTCGCTTAGCATAATACCCTCTAGTTCCATCCAAATCATTGCAAATGGCAAGATTTCATTTCTTTTTTTAAATTTTATTATGTTATGTTAATCACCATACATTACATCATTAGTTTTTGATGTAGTGTTCCATGATTCATTGTTTGCATATAACACCCAGTGCTCCATTCAATATGTGCCCTCTTTAATACCCATCACCAGGCTAACCCATCCTCCCACCCCCCTCCCCTCTAGAACCCTCAGTTTGTTTCTCAGAGTCCATAGTCTCTCATGGTTCGTCTCCCCCTCTGATTACCCCCCTTCATTTTTCCCTTCCTACTATCTTCTTTTTTTTTTTTTTTTAACATATAATGTATTATTTGTTTCAGAGGTACAGGTCTGTGATTCAACAGTCTTACACAATTCACAGTGCTCACCATAGCACATACCCTCCCCAATGTCTATCACCCAGTCACCCCATCCCTCCCACCCCCCACCACTCCAGCAACCCTCTGATTGACTTATTTCGCTCAGCATAATACCTTCTAGTTCCATCCACATCGTTGCAAATGGCAAGATTTCATTCCTTTTAATGGCTGCATAATATTCCATTGTATATATATATCTCACATCTTTATCCATTCATCTGTTGATGGACATCTTGGCTCTTTCCATAGTTTGGCTATTGTGGACATTGCTGCTATAAACATCGGGGTACACATACCCCTTCGGATCCCTACATTTGTATCTTTTTTTTTTAAAGATTTTTATTATTTATTTTTTAGAGAGCGAGTGAGAGAGAAACAGCATGAGAGGGGAGAGGGTCAGAGGGAGAAGCAGGCTCCCTGCTGAGCCGGGAGCCCGATGTGGGACTCGATCCCAGGACTCTGGGATCATGACCTGAGCTGAAGACAGACACTTAACCATCTGAGCCACCCAGGCGCCCCCTACATTTGTATCTTTGTGGTAAATACCCAGTAGTGCAATTGCTGGATCATATGGTAGCTCTATTTTCAACTTTTTGAGGCACCTCCATACTGTTTTCCAGAGTAGTTGCACCAGCTTGCATTCCCACCAACAGTGTAGGAGGGTTCCCCTTTCTCCGCATCTTCACCAACATCTGTCGTTTCCTGACTTGTTAACTTTACCCATTCTGATTGGTGTGAGGTGGTATCTCATTGAGGTTTTGATTTGGATTTCCCTAATGCTCAGTGATGTGGAACACTTTTTCATGTGTCTGTTGACCATTTGGATGTCTTCTTTGCAGAAATGTCTGTTCATGTCTTCTGCCCATTTCTTGATTGGATTCTTTGTTCTTTGGGTCTTGAGTTTGATAAGTTCTTTATAGATTTTGGATACTAGCCCTTTATCTTTTGGGAGATTTTTGATGACTGCTTCAATTTCCTTGTTGGTTATGGGTCTGTTCAGGTTTTGTATTTCTTCCTGTTTCAGTTTTGGTAGTTTAGACATCTCTAGGAATGCATCCATTTCTTTCCGATTGCCTAATTTTTGGCATATAGTTGCTCATAATATGTTCTTATAGTTGTTTGCATTTCTTTGGTGTTGGTTTTGAGCTCTCCTCTTTCATTCATGATTTTATTTATCTGGGTCCTTTCTCTCTCTCCCTCTCTCTCTCTCTTCTTCTTCTTTTTTTTTTTTAAAATAAGTCTGGCCAGGGGTTTATCAATCTTATTAATTCTTTCAAAGAAACAGCTCCTAGTTTTGTTGATCTGCTTTACTGTCCTTTTGTTTCTATTTCATTGATTTCTGCTCTAATCTTTATAATTTCTCTTCTCCTGCTGTGTTTAGACTTTATTTGCTGTTCTTTCTCCAGCTCCTTTAGGTATAAGGTTAGGTTTTATATTTGAGACCTTTCTTGTTTCTTGAGAAAGGCCTGTATCATTATATACTTCCCTCTTAGGACTGCCTTTGCTGTATCCCAAAGGTTTTGAACAGTTGTATTTTCATTTTCATTTGTTTCCATGAATTTTTTAATTCTTCTTTAATTTCCTGGTTGACCCATTCATTCTTTAGTAGGATGCTTTTTAGCCTCCATGTATTTGAGTTCCTTCCAAATTTCCTCTTGTGATTGAGTTCTAGTTTCAAAGCATTGTGGTCCGAAAATATGCAGGGAATGATCGCAATCTTTGGTACCTGTTGAGACCTGATGTATGATTCAGGATGTGAGCTATTCTAGGGAATGTTCTATGTGCACTAGAGAAGAATGTGTATTCTGTTGCTTTGGGATGGAATGTTCTGAATATATCTGTGAAGTCCATCTGGTCCAGTGTGTCTTTCAAATCTCTTAATTCTTTGTTGATCTTTTGCTTAGATGATCTGTCCATTGCAGTGAGGGGGGGTTGTTAAATACCCCTACTATTATTGTATTATTATTGATGTGTTTCTTTAATTTTGTTATTAATCGGCTTATATAATTGGCTGCTCACATGTTAGGGGCATAAATATTTACAACTGTTAGATTTTCTTGGATAGACCCTTTAATTATGATATAGTTTCCTTCCTCATCTCTTATTACAGTCTTTGGTTTAAAATCTGATTTGTCCGATATAAGGATTGCCACCCCAGCTTTTTTTATGTCCATTAGCATGGCAAATGGTTTTCCACCCCCTCACTTTAAATCTGGAGGTGTCTTTGGGTTTAAAATGAATCTCTGGCAGACAGCATATTGATGGGTCGTGCTTTTTTATCCAATCTGATGCCCTGTGTGTTTTGATTGAGGCATTTAGCCCATTTACATTCAGAGTAACTATTGAAAGATATGAATTTAGTGTCATTGTATTACCTGTAAAGTCCCTGTTTCTGTATATTGTCTCTGTTCCTTTCTGGTCCATGTTACTTTTGGGCTCTCTCTTTACTTAGAGAATCCCTTTTAATATTTCTTGTAGGGCTGGTTTGGTGATCACAAATTCTTTTAGTTTCTGTTTGTCCTGGAAGCTTTTTATCACTATTTCTATTTTGAATGACATCCTAGCTGGATAAAGTATTCTTGACTGCATGTTTTTCTCATTTAACACCCTGAATATATCATGCCAGTCCTTTCTGGCCTGCCAGGCCTCTGTGGATAGGTCTGCTGCCAATCTAATGTTTCTACCATTGTAGGTTACAGACCTCTTGTCCCCAGCTGCTTTCAGGATTTTCTCTTGGTCTCTGAGATTTGCAAGTTTCACTATTGTATGTCAGGTGTTGACCTATTTTTATTGATTTTGAAGGGGGCTCTCTGTGCCTCCTGGACTTGGATGCCTGTTTCCTTCCCCAAATTAGGGAAGTTCTCCACTATAATTTGTTCCAATATACCTTCTGCCCCCCCTTTCCTCTTCTTCTGCAACCCCAATTATTCTAATAATGTTTCACTTTATGGTATCACTTATCTCTCGAATTCACCCCTCATGATCCAGTAATTGTTTATCTCTCCTTTTCTCATGTTCTTTACTCTCCATCATCAGTCTTCTATATCACTAATTCTCTCTTCTGCCTCAGTTATCCTAGCACTTAGAGCCTCCATTTTTTATTGCATCTCATTAATAGAGTTTTTTTATTTCAACTTGATTCAATTTTAGTTATTTTATTTCTCCAGAAAGGGATTCTCTTGTGTCTTCTATGCTTTTTTTCAAGCCCAGCTAGCATCTTTATAATTGTTATTCTGAACTCTAGTTCCAACATTTTACTTATGTCCATACTGACTAGGTTCCTGGTAGTCAGTACTGCCTCTTGTTCTCTTTTTTGAGGTGAGTTTTTCTGTCTTGTCATTCTGTCCAGAGAAGAATAATGACCAAGAGAACAAAATGCAAAAATGGCAACCACGACTCCAGAGAAATATACACTAAGCAAACCAGAAGAGACCCAAAACCAAAATATATATATATATATATATATATATATATATATATATATATATATATATATATATTTTTTTTTTTTTTTTTTTAAGAAAAGAAAAAAAGGCAATATAATCAGACAGGTGGACAGAATAGAGCAATACGCTGGATCCTATATTTTGGTCCATTTGTTAGAAAACTTAGATCCCAAAATTGTAAAGAAAGAAAAACCTATATATGTACAAAGATAAAATTAAATACAATGAAAGGATAGACTGTAACTGTAAAAATGAAAATTAAAAGACAAGAAAAAACAAAAGAGAAAAAACAACAACAACAGAAAAAGAAGGGATATAAACAGACAGGGGAACAGAACTGCAATACACTATATCTTGAGTGTATCTTGGTCAGTTTGTTAGAAGAAACTACATCTCAAAATTGCAAAGAAAGAAAAACTTATATATATACAAAAAAAAATTAAATACTGAAGGGGTAGAATGCAACTGTAAAAATGAAAATTAAAAAATATTTTTAAAACGAGTTGATAAAATAAGAAATTGATTGAAAAAGGAAAAAGAAAAGAAAATTAAAATTGAAAGACTAAAGAATCATGGAGGAAAAAACATGAATTCTATATGCTATATTCCCCCAGTGCTGGAGTTTTGCAGTTCTCATTGATTGGTAAATTGGTCTTGGCTGGATGTTCTTGCTGATCTTCTGGGGGAGGGGCTTGTTGCTTTGATTCTCAAGTGTTTTTTCCCCAGTTGGAATTGTATTGCACTTTCCAGGGGGGCCAAGCTAAGTAAGCGGCTCCAGTTTGCTCTATTTGGTTTTTATTCCCTGAAGCTTTCCACCTGTCTTTAGAGGATGAGAATGAAAATGGTGGTCTCCCAATCTCCAGCCCCAGAGCCAAGAGCTTGGGACCCCACTCCTCAGTGCACCCTCAGGGAAAAACAGTCAATCACTCCTGTCTCCTTGGTCTCAGTCTGTACTCCATGCTCATGTGGCCTGTGACCGAGCATTTCTATCTCAGGCACAAGACCCTGCTTTGAGTCTCCAAACCCTGAAGACTCCTGTGGTGCACTTCTGAGCCTCTCCTCCTGGGGGAGGAAGGCGGGGGTCTTGCTGGGCCCCTGCTCAGAGGTGGTAAACTGTTTATGGCAACCCTGAGCTGAAAGCCCACTCCTTGGCCCACTGTTTGCAGCTGGCTTCCCTGCTCCGATGCTTGGGAACTCTGCTGCACTCAGTCCCCCCTGGTCTTCCTGTCACCCCAAGGATCCTGAGACCACACTGTCCCACCTAGGAGTCCACCCACTTTGCCACCTGGGTGCCTTTCAGGCCAGGACATTCCTCACTGGAGCAGACTTCTGAAAGTTCTGATTTTGTGCTCTGCTGCTATATCACTTTCTGGTAGCTGGCTGATGAATGCTCCCTCCCCCACAGTTCATCTTCCCATATATCACCTTGAATTCACTTCTCCACACCTCCTACCTTGCAGAAAGTGGTCACTTTTATATTTGTAGAGTTGCAGCTATTCTTTTCTTATATCTCTGGTCAAGTTCGCAGGTGTTCAGAATGATTTGATACCTATGTAGCTGAATTCCTGGGACCAGACGAAACTAAGGTCTCCTAATCCTCTGCCATCTTGATTGTATCCTAATTCTGGCTTCTTTGGACTTGTTGGTGTGAGTATGTTCCAACCTCCTTTTCTTCATATCAGCGCCATCTTGAAATTTGTCATCAGAGCTCATGTGGGTGTTAACAGGCATACTTTGGTATTCTTAGTCATTGAATATATCAGATTCTAATTCTTTAGATTTTGATTAGACTTTTCTTGGTGTAATATGAACTGCTTTAATTGAAAGTAAGAGTAACAGTTTAGTTTAAACAAAAAGAGAAGTGGATCACGTCACTGGGATGTCTAGATTGAGACCCAGCCTCATGCACAGCTGAATTCAGTTACTGGAGAAATGCCACCAATACTCAGCATCTCTAATTTATCTGTTTTTGTTATTGTTTGGGGGCAACATGTTGTTTTCTGCTATTTGAACAGTATAACCTTGAATATTCATTTTCAGTCTTCTGGTGCATATTTGCAAGAGAGTCTCTTGGGTGCACAACTAGGAGTAGAATTGCTGAGTCAGGAGGTATGTGAGTTGCAAGTACTAAGATAATGTCAGATTATTTTTCAGTGTAAATGAGTCACTTCAGTCCTATCAACGGTATATTAGAAATGCCTCTATCTTCTCCAATTGTCAAATCTCACCTTTCTTCTTTTCACCATCCTTCATCTTCCCACTCAAGTAGGTACAGAATGGTATCTCTCTGTGGTAGGTATTTCCCTGGTTATTAACTTGGTAAAGCATCTCTTCTTATACTTATTACCCATAAGTAAGTCTTCTAAGAAATGCCCATTCTGTCTTTTGCCCATTTTTCTATTTGTCTTTTTCTTATGATTTGTCAATGCAACTTACAGATTCTAGAATCCAAATCCTCTTTTGGTCCCTGAATAGTTCCACTTTCACCCATTGATCTGCCAGGCCACCACCAACATATTATTAAATATATCTATATATAACTCTAATTTCTAGAATCTCTTAACGTACCCTCAGTCAATTTACTGGTCCTTAAATACACTGTACTGTCTTAATATTGTAATTTCATACTAAATAATCAGTATCCGACAGGATAAACTTTCTTTCATTCTTTTTCTTTGAGAGTGTCTTGGTAATTTTGGTCATTTACTCTCTCCTAGAGATTTTAGAATCTAATTAACTGCACAAAAAAAACCCTTGCAGGATTTTGATTGCAGTTACATAGATCTATAGATAGTTTGGGAAAGAAATGACATATTTATATCAGTCCATCTTTGTCCTCTTTAACATAGGAAGTCTCTCCATTTATTTAGAACTTCTTTAATGTCTTTATTTTTAAAAAAGATTTATTTATTTATTTGAGAGAGAGAACACAAGCAGGGAGGAAGGGCAGAGGGAGACGGAGAAGCAGATCCCCCACTGAGCAGGGAGCCTGATGCAAGGCTCGATTCCAGGACCCTGAGATCATGACCTGAGCTGAAGGCAGACACTTAACTGACTGAGCCACCCAGGTGCCCTTCTTTAATGTCTTTAAAGTCTTATAAATTTCTCTGTACAAGTTTTGTCAGTCATTTGTTACCTTTATTACTAGCTTCTTCTACTTTTTTTGTTGTTGTGAATGATGTTTTTCTTTAAAAGTTTCAATTTATCATTGTTGCTGGTGTGTAGAAATGCAACTGATTTTACAAGTTGATTTTATATTTGGCCACCTTGCTAAACTTTCTCTTTATTTTCAATGATTTGTCCCTAGATTCTTTTTATGTTCTTTATAAACAGTATACTGATTTTAAAATGTTGTTTCCTTATGATTTTAGTTTTTCCTAATATTTTGCTTTTAATTTTTTTCTTGTCTTAATGAACCCATGAGGACTTTGGGTATAATTCTAAATGGAAATGGTCTTACTTCAGATCTTTTTTTTTTTCTTTTTAAAGATTTTTATTTATTTATTTGTCAGAGAGAGAGATAGAGAGCAAGAGAGAGGGAGAGCATGAGCAGGGGCAAGGGCAGAAGGAGAAGCAAGCTCCCTGCCAAGCAAGGAGCCTGATGCAGGACTTGTTCCCAGGACCCTGGGATCATGACCTGAGCCAAAGGCAGACACTTAACCAACTGAGCCACCCAGGCATCCCTTACTTCAGATCTTAAAGAGAATGTTTCTGTGATTTTCTCATTTAAATTCAGGTTTGCATTAGGTATTTTTTAATATACCATTTATTAGGTTAAGGAAGTTCCATGATATTCCTAGTTTAGTAAATGATTTTTCTTTTTATCATGAATAAATATTGAATTTTATCAAACACATCTTCTGTTTCTGTTGTCACAAATGTTTATCCTTTTCATTTGTTAATTAACAAATGACATGTTAATATTTTATATTAAACAATTTTTGCATTCCTGGAACAGATCCAGTTGGATATTGGAGTATTAATCTCCTTAATACACTTTTATTCAGTTTGCTAATTTTTTATTCAGAATTTTTGCATCTAAATTCATGCATTGTAGGCTCTAATAATAGTCCTCTCTCTTTCTTTATTTAGTGTTTGAATCAAAATAACAGTGAAAGCAGAATGAGTTGGGTATATTTCCTCTTTTTCTATCCTTCAGAAAAATTTATATAAAATTGGAATATGTTGTTTGAGATTTTGGTAGAACTTACCTGTAAAAGTATCTGAGCCCTTTGTGAGAAGATTTGTAACTACTATTTCTAATTCTTTAATAATTAAAGGACTACTCAGGCTTTTTGTTTCCTCGAATTGATTTTGGTAAATTATATTTTTAAGGAATTATAATTTCAGTAGCTGGTATTTCCATATCGGTCTGATCAGTCTGACATCTCATCTTTTATATCCTTATTTCAGGCTTTTTCCCTAAGAGAATATAAAATTTACTTATTTTGTGAAATAAGCACTTTTAAAACAGTTTGCTTTTCTTAGGTATCTTATATGTTAATCTTCTGTCTTGTATTTCACTCTAAAATATTTTCACTAACTTCTTTATGAGAAAATGTGGTATTTAGGACCTATTAAAATAATATTACATCAAAGGGATTCAGAGTGTCCCAACCTAGCCCAAACTTAGGGAGGGAGCTCCCCTTCCTTAGAAATTCCTGAGTGACCTATAAACACAATAGACAATGACACCCATAGTGACCTGGCCTGGAACACATAACTTAGACTATAAGTCTACATGGAGACTTTCCCTTGACCCAAGCCAAATTATGAGAAGTTTCTAAAACCTGAGTGTTCACTTGAGTTGCTGAATATTTATTGTTGAGATTTATTTCTAGCAATTCCAGTCTTGTTGCTTTTGGAATGAAGTTGTTCTATCATTATGTATTCTATGAATTGCTGTTATATAGGAAAATACTACAGTTACTATATTTACTATATCAACCCACTATCTTAGTAATTGGAATAGCTTTTCAGTTATTTCTCCTGGTTTTTTAGATACACCATAATAAAGTTAATTTGGTTCATTTTTTTTTTTTTAAGATTTTATTTATTTATTTGACAGGACACTGGGATCATGACCTGAACCGAAGGCAGACTCTTAACAACTGAGCCACCCAGGCGCCCCAGTTTGGTTCATTCTTTTCCAGTATTTGTTATTTCTTTTCTTTCAACCAGTGCTTTTCTAAGATTGTGAAATATGGCTACAGAAATGCACATGAAACTAAATGAACAATATAATGAAACAGTTGTGTATAAATAGCTGTATATCTATCACCCAAATCAGAAAATAAATCATTAGTAGCACCCTAAAAATCTCCTGTGTTCTTTCCTGGTCACATCCCCACCCTGGGTTACCTCCATACTAATTTTATGCTAGTCACATTTTCACCATTCTTTATAATTTTATCTTCTATGTGCTCATCCCTAAAAATATAGCTTTGTTTTGCTTATTTTTGAACTTATTAAAATGGAACCACACTGTATATATTATTTTTGTGGTGCTTCTTCATTCAAGATTATATTTGTTAGATGTTGTGTATAGTTCATTAATCTTCCTTGCAATAAAATATTCCTATGTGAACATACAACTATTTATTTATAAATTCTACTGCTGTGTTGATTTGAGTCCTAGCCAGTTTGATCTGTTATAAGAATGCTGCTTCAGACACCCTGTGGGCATTTGCATCTATTTCCTGAGCACAAGTGGAATTGTTGGGTCATAGGGTATTTGTTTTTTTTTTTTTTTTTAAGATTTTATTTATTTATTTGACAGAGAGAGACACAGCGAGAGAGGGAACACAAGCAGGGGGAGTGGGAGAGGGAGAAGCAGGCTTCCCGTGGAGCAGGGAGCCCGATGCGGGGCTCGATCCCAGGACCCTGGGATCATGACCTGAGCCGAAGGCAGACGCTTAACGACTGAGCCACCCAGGCGCCCCTATTTGTATTTTTTTTAAAAGATTTTATTTATTTACTTGACAGAGAGAGAGAGCACAAGTAGGCAGAGCGGTAGGCAGAGGCACAGGGAGAAGCAGGCTCCCCACTGAGCAGGGAGCCCGATGTGGGGCTCTATCCCAGGACCCTGGGATCATGACCTGAGCCAAAAGCAAATGCTTAACTGACTGAGCCACCCAGGCACCCCAAGGTATTTATATTTTTAATTTTAGTTGATAATGCCAAAATGTTTCCCAATTTACATGCTTACCCAACCTTCCACATCCTCAGCCATACAAGATAGGCAACATTTAAAAAACTGTAAATAGGCCACATTTAAATGTTGCCTGTCTTCTAGGCACCTATACGTATTTTATTATAAATTTAATTTGCATTTATTTGTTCTTTGGTTACTAATGAAGTTGGGAACTTTGTCATATGCTTATTGATTACTTGAAATTCCTTCTCTAAGAAATGTTGCTTAAAGCATCTTTTTTTGGTTTGTCTTTTTTTTCTTATTGATTTGTAGGAATTAAAAGAAAAATCTAAATACATGTCTTCTGTGTGTTGTTTAAGTTGCAAATCTCTTCTCCCATTGCATGACTTTTCCCACTCCCTGTGTTTTGATGAAAAGATGTTCTTAATTTTTTTTTAAAGATTTATTTATTTATTTGAGAGAGCGAGAATGAGAGAGAGAGAGAGTACATGAGAGGGGGGAGGGTTAGAGGGAGAAGCAGGCTCCTCGCCGAGCAGGGAGCCCGATGCGGGACTTGATCCAGGGACTCCAGGATCATGACCTGAGCTGAAGGCAGTCACTTAACCAACTGAGCCACCCAGGCGCCCCAAGATGTTCTTAATTTTAATGAAGTCATATTTATCATTTTTTTCCTACAGTTTTCTTTGTGGAGATATTTTTGACTGCTAAATGGACTTTCTTTAAAGATTACAGTATTCAATTTTTCTATTCTTTAGTCAATTTTGGCAAGTTATATTTTCCTAGAAATTTGTATCTTCTAAGTGTTCAAATTCAGTGACATAAAATTGTTCATAATAGGGCGCCTGGGTGGCTCAGTTGGTTAAGCGACTGCCTTCGGCTCAGGTCATGATCCTTGAGTCCCTGGATCAAGTCCCGCATCGGGCTCTCTGCTCAGCAGGGAGCCTGCTTCTCCCTCTGACCCTACCCCCTCTCGTGTGCTCTCTCTCTCTCTCTCTCATTCTCTCGGTCTCAAATAAATAAATAAAAATCTTTAAAAAAAATTGTTCATAATAATCTCTTATGGCGCGCCTGGGTGGCTCAGATGGTTAAGCATCTGCCTTCGGCTCAGGTCATGATCCCAGGGTCCTGGGATTGAGCCCCCACATCCGGCTCCTGGATCAGCGGGGAGCCTGCTTCTTTCTCTGCCTCTCCCCCTGCTCGTGCTCTCTCTCTTTCTCTGTATCCCTGTGTCTCGAGTGAATAAATAAAATCTTTAAAAAAAGATAATAATCTCTTACAATTTTTCATTGTCTGCAGGATCTCGTGATGTCTTGTTTTGAATTCCTGATATTGATTTTTTGTACTTTTTCTATTTTTAAGTACTTGTCCAGGCATGCTGGAAGACTCACATTGGTATTGTTTTCATTATTTTTTTCCAAGAACCAACTTTTGACTTTATTTATTGTGTCTATTGTATGTATGTTTCCTTTTAAAATTAGGTTTTGCTCCTTTGTATAATAACCTTTCTTCTTTTTTTTAAATCTGTTTCTATTTTTATTTTTTATTTTTTTAAAATTTTCTTATTGTTATGTTAATCACCATACATTATATCATTAGTTTTAGATGTAGTGTTCCATGATTCATTGTTTGTGCATAACACCCAGTGCTCCATGCAGAACGTGCCCTCCTCAATACCCATCACCAGGCTAACCCAACCTCCCACCTCCCTCCCCTCTAGAACCCTTAGTTTGTTTTTCAGAGTCCATCGTCTCTCATGGTTCATCTACCCCTCCGATTTCCCCCCCCTTCATTGTTCCCCTCCTGCTACCTTCTTCTTCTTTTTTTTTTTTTCTTAACATATATTGCATTATTTGTTTCAGAGGTACAGATCTGAGATTCAACAGTCTTGCACAATTCACAGCGCTTACCAGAGCACATACCCTCCCCAGTGTCTATCACCCAGTCACCCCATCCCTCCCACCCCACCCCCCACTCCAGCAACCCTCAGTTTCTTTCCTAAGATTAAGAATTCCTCATATCAGTGAGGTCATATGATACATGTCTTTCTCTGTTTGACTTATTTCCCTCAGCATAATAGCCTCCAGTTCCATTCATGTTGTTGCAAATGGCAAGATCTCATTCCTTTTGATGGCTGCATAATATTCCATTGTGTATATATATACCACCTCTTCTTTATCTATTCACCTGTCGATGGACATCTTGGCTCTTTCCACAGTTTGGCTATTGTGGACATTGCTGCCATAAACATCGGGTGCACGTACCCCTTAGGATCCCTACTTTTGTATCTTTGGGGTAAATACCCAGTAGTGCAATTGCTGGATCATATGGTAGCTCTATTTTCAACTTTTTGAGGCACCTCCATACTGTTTTCCAGAGTGGCTACACCAGCTTGCATTCCCACCAACAGTGTAGGAGGGTTCCCCTTTCTCCGCATCCCCGCCAACATCTGTCATTTCCTGACTTGTTCATTTTAGCCATTCTGACTGGTGTGAGGTGGTATCTCACTGACGTTTTGATTTGGATTTCCCTGATGCCTAGCAATATTGAGCACTTTTTCGTGTGTCTGTTGGCCATTTGGATGTCTTCTTTGGAAAAATGTCTGTTCATGTCTTCTGCCCATTTCTTGATTGGATTCTTTGTTCTTTGGGTGTTGAGTTTGATGAGTTCTTTATAGATTTTGGATACTAGCCCTTTATCTGATATGTCATTTGCAAATATCTTCTCCCATTCTGTCGGTTGTCTTTTGGTTTTGTTGACTGTTTCCTTTGCTTTGCAAAAGCTTTTAATCTTGATGAAGTCCCAATAGTTCATTTTTGCCCTTGCTTCCCTTGCCTTTGGTGATGTTTCTAGGAAGAAGTTGCTGCGGCTGAGGTCGAAGAGGTTGCTGTCTGTGTTCTCCTTTAGGATTTTGATGGACTCCTGTCTCACATTGAGGTCTTTCAACCATTGGGAGTCTATTTTTGTGTGTGGTGTAAGGAAATGGTCCAGTTTCATTCTTCTGCATGTGGCTATCCAATTTTCCCAACACCATTTGTTGAAGAGACTGTCTTTTTTCCACTGGACATTCTTTCCTGCTTTGTCAAAGATTAGTTGACCACAGAGTTGAGGGTCCATTTCTGGGCTCTCTATTCTGTTCCATTGATCTATGTGTCTGTTTTTCTGCCAGTACCATACTGTCTTGATGATGACAGCTTTGTAATAGAGCTGGAAGTCCGGAATTGTGATGCCGCCGGCTTTGCTTTTCTTTTTCAACATTTCTCTGGCTATGCGGGGTCTTTTCTGGTTCCATACAAATTTTAGGATTATTTGTTCCATTTCTTTGAAAAAAGTGGACGGTATTTTGATGGGGATTGCATTGAATGTGTAGATTGCTCTAGGTAGCATTGACATCTTCACAATATTTGTTCTTCCAATCCATGAGCATGGCACGTTTTTCCATTTCTTTGTGTCTTCCTCAATTTCTTTTATGAGTATTTTATAGTTTTCTGAGTACAGATCCTTTGCCTCTTTGGTTAGATTTATTCCTAGGTATCTTATGGTTTTGGGTGCAATTGTAAATGGGATCGACTCCTTAATTTCTCTTTCTTCTGTCTTGTTGTTGGTGTATAGGAATGCCACTGACTTCTGTGCATTGATTTTATATCCTGCCACTTTACTGAATTCCTGTATGAGTTCTAGCAGTTTTGGGGTGGAGTCTTTGGGGTTTTCCACATAAAGTATCATATCATCTGCAAAGAGTGATACTTTGACTTCTTCTTTGCCAATTTGAATGCCTTTGATTTCTTTTTGTTGTCTGATTGCTGTGGCTAGGACTTCTAGTACTATGTTGAATAGCAGTGGTGATAGTGGACATCCCTGCCGCATTCCTGACCTTAGGGGGAAAGCTCTCAGTTTTTCCCCATTGAGAATGATATTCGCTGTAGGTTTTTCATAGATGGCTTTTATGATACTGAGGTATGTACCCTCTATCTCTATACTCTGAAAAGTTTTGATCAAGAAAGGATGCTGTACTTTGTCAAGTGCTTTTTCTGCATCTATTGAGAGGGTCCTATGATTCTTGTTCCTTCTTTTGTTGGATGTATTGTATCACGTTGATTGATTTGCAGATGTTGAACCAAACTTGCAGCCCAGGGATAAATCCCACTTGGTCGTGGTGAATAATCCTTTTAATGTACTGTTGGATCCTATTGGCTAGTATTTTGGTGAGAATTTTTGCATCCATGTCCATCAGGGATATTGGTCTGTAGTTCTCCTTTTTAATGGGGTCTTTGTCTGGTTTTGGGATCAAGGTCATGCTGGCCTCATAAAATGAGTTTGGAAGTTTTCCTTCCATTTCTATTTGTTGTAACAGTTTCAGAAGAATAGGTATTAATTCTTCTTGAAATGTTTGGTAGAATTCCCCTGGGAAGCCATCTGGCCCTGGGCTTTTG